TCGCCATTTGTTTTTCGGGGATTGGCTGACTTCACTTAGCATTCTCTTCTCCAACTGCATCTATTTACCTGCAAATGCCATGATTTTGTTCTCTTTGTGTATATATGCCACATTTTTTTGATCCATTCATCTACTGAAGGGCATCTAGGGTGGTTCCACAGTTTAGCTATTGTGAATTGTGCTGCTATAAACATTGATATGGCTGTGTCCCTGTAGCATGCTGTCCTTTGGGTATAGACCAAGGGGAGGGATAGCTGGGTCAAATGGTGGTTTTATTTCCAAGTTTTCCAAGGAATCTCAATACTGCTTTCCATATTGGCTGCACCAATTTGAGACAGGCTTCCCTAAGTTGCCCAGGCTGGCCTCAAACTTGAGATCCTCCTGCCTTAGCCTCTCAAGCAGCTGGGGTTACAGGTGTGTGCCACAACCTGGTTTGGCTCTGTCTTAAACAGTAAGACTTTGGTGCCACAGAGCTTCTCTGTGAACACCAAACTGCTCATAGCCAGAAATGGCCTAGAGATAAGCAGAGGTCACCCATAATCTACACTGGGAGTAGATTAACACCCACCTCAAAACGATGCCAACCCCTCACTTGGTACTGATATTATTCCTGAAAATTCAGATACCTCTCCCTCATGAGTCACCGACTAAAGTTCAGTCTTCAGTACTACATTTGAAATAACAGAAAGGCTCTAATCCACCAGGCACAAAATAGTCTATCTTATCTTCATCTTGGAATGAATTTACTCTAGGGGCTGTGACAAATCAAAGCCACATGTCCTAACTGGAGAACATAGGCATTGCCATTGCCATTCACTCCAAACTACATCCGAGTATGGAGGGGAGACGATGGTGGGCCATGTGCCCAGGTCTGGGGCTCCTTTTTGTTCCCTAAGTTATCAGTGAATATGAGTGTCACAGAAACTAACCTCCACCTGAATGACTCGTCAATATCAATTTCCACATAAAAAATAAAAGTGACTTTTGTTGTAATTTTTTGTTGAAAAAAAAAATGAACCTGTTAATCCATTAATCTCTGCCAGGCATCCTATGTGGCATCCCCAACTCTGCTGTCCTCAGAACCACAATAAAGACAGTCCTTATTATTTTAGCCCTCAGGCTAATTATGTATATGTGGGGGGTGAGTAAGTGTGACAGCGTGTTCAGAAGTGGGGGTCAGCCCTAGTGGCTGCGAGATGGTCCAGGACAGAGCGTGTAACATTGGGCTGGGCGGTAGGAATGGGTGTTTAAGTCAGAGTGGGCAAAATACACTAAAGCAGGGAAAGAGGCAAAATAGCACAAGGTGTGTTCTTAAGGAGAACTAGCGGGAGAGAGAGCAGGAAAGGTAGGTTGGAGCCAGACAGGCGGCAGAGGGACTTGGGTGGAAGGCAGAAGAGTCTGGCCTTTATCCAGCAATGGGAGGAAGGGGGTGTCACTGGAGATGGGAACAACATGATGAAAGCCATATGCTGAGGCTTTTAGAAAGAATGTGCCAAAAGTGTAGCCCTTAAAAGTGAAATTGAATATGAGAGGAAGCTAGAAATAGGGTGATTGACCTTTCCAGTCCTTTATTGTCAGATAAAATTCATTTACAGCATAACTACCTTCCTCTTGGATGTAAACCGTCCATGTTGAATCAAATAAAAAGCAAAGAATGATTACTGTTTTAAGGGTATGAGACAGAAAGTATAACTTCTGAACCCCAAAATGTATACATCCCACCAAAGCATATAATTCTTCCCATAAAATGCTGTGAAATATGATTTCACCGGAGCAGCCACATCTGCAGCACCAAGTTGAAAATACCAAAGCTCCCTGGAGGGATCATCAACTGTGCTCACCTATCCATGCCCACCCCTCCTACCTGCTGGTCCAGCACTGGTTTTGTGCCTCAACACAATGACACCTGAAATTCTTATCATGGATGAGATGAATACCTTTAAATTTGTCTTTTTTTTAAACAACCATTTTTCCAACGTGGGTTTCAAGTAAGCTTAATCCTTTTATTTTGAACTCATAATTGCACCCAAACTCCTTTCAGGAGCCATGTGGCCACCCAAAAGTTGCCCATGACTGGACATGGTGGTGCATGCCTATAATCCAGCAACTGGGGAGGCTGAGGCCAGAGGATCACAAGTTCAAGGCCAGACTCAGCAACTTAGTGAGGCCCTAATTAACTTAGAGAAACTCTGTCTCAAAATAAATAAATAAAATGGACTGGGGATATAGCTCAATGGTAAAGTGCCACTGGGTTCAGTTCCCAGTCCCCCCTACCCCCGGCAAAAAAAGTTGCCCATGTCCCAGATTCTGTTTAGAGTCTCAGCCGTAAACATTCCCAGTGGCCATAACTTTCTGTTCGCCACGTCCTGGAGCCTACAATGGTGGGCCATGTGCCCAGGTCTGGGGCTTCTTTTTGTTCCCTAAGTTATCAGTGAATATGGGTGTCACAGAAACTAGCCCCCGCCTGAATGACTCATCAATATCAGTTTCCACATAAAAATAGAAAAGGCATTCTGTGGTATATGTTTAAAAGTAAAAATGCCTTTTGTTGTAATGTTTGTTGAAAAAAAATGAACCTGTTCATCTGTTAATCTCTGCCTGGCATCCTGCGCAGCATCTTTGTGCCAGAGGTGATGGATCCTCTGGGGGAGGTGTTTCTCTGTTTGAGAAATAGCCTGTTTCTCAAACTTACTTTCCACCTCCCCCACATCATGAAAAGCCCCTGAGAAGCCCTCAGGACTGCCTCGCTCTGAATGAAGTAGCAGACCTTGGGTATCTGGGGCTGGTTATAAAAATAGGAAGACTGGATTTCCCTTACACCACATTCAACTACAAGTGGATTCTGTTCTGAGTGCCAAGACTTAAGCCAGCCAATTATTTTAAATTAAATTGCATATTATAATTGACATCTCAGCATATTATAATTGACATCCCAGGTAAGCAGTCCCTAATGAAATGTCATATTTAATGACTGATTCCAAAACTTAGAAAATTCTAAATTGAATTAAGCGTTGACCTGTTTTCCTCAGTTCCACTCAACCCCAGTATTGAGATGTGATTGTTTGTTTTAATATTTAAGTGAGCAGAGCCCTTTGCTCACATCTCCCATATTGCCTGTTACTTATAAACATCCACCCAACCAAGGCCACCTGTTATAATGTTACACCAGTCTATCCTAGATTTGGTAGACACTCCTGAAAAAAGAGAAGAAACACAACTGGCTACGGTACAGGTCACTAATAAGACAAAAGGAAGACGAACAATGCCCCCCAAAAGCCAGGGTGTGGGGTGACCCAGCCAGGCCTTCCATGTTCTAGGGCGAGCTTAGCTTTGAAGGGAAAGAAGACTTTGGGGAAAGGGTGCCCGAGCTGAACAGTCCTCCCTCATCTTGACACTAGCCTCGTTGCCTCCAGGTTTTCTTTCTGCGCCCATTCACCTGCCACCTTTTTAAAAGCTTAAAAAGGAGAAGCATGCGGCTGTTAGGGAAGAATTCTGCTTCTCTGAATATTTTGCTTTAGCTTAAAGAGTTTCTCCATATGAAAAAGACTCCTCTTACCAACCCAGGGGTCCCCAGTAAGAGGGCTGTGGGTCCTGCAGATGGGAGTAGTGATCCCGGCCCCAGGAAGAAACACAGTGGATGAGACTATTTTTAAAATCGCCTCCATTTCACTTTAGAATCAAGATCTGCTGGATTGCCCATGACCAAGTGACTTTCCTTAAAGGCTGGTTTTCTTTGGCAAGTGATTCAGGCCTGGGACGCCAGTAGGAGGCCCAGTGTGCAGTTGGCGTAGGAGGTGGATGATGTGATGTCAATAGTGGGAGCCCGTTTCATTTCATCGGAAGCAAACTCAACACCAAAGCTTGCTCTTGCTGTTTCCTTGTCTTTCTGTCCCACAACCGCTGGGACAGAAAGGAGTTGAAGGCAAAGGTGAGAAAAGTGGTGGGAACATGGCCTAAAAACAGGCATGAGGCATTTCAAAGCACAGGATTTTTGAGAGTCCAAATTGGCTGTTTTTACCTTTGTAGTTGACTAGAAGGACCAGGTGGAAACTGCCCCCTGCTGCCTGACCTAGAGAACTACATACAAAATGCCCACCAGGTTAACAAGAACTGCTTTGGGAAATGCCTGCACGGGCTGGAAAGCTGCACAGGACAGCCAGCTCCAGAGACCTGAACGTCACAAGTCACCCAGATCTTCGCCAGTGTGAAGTTGAAGGGAGAGCAAGCAAGTCAGAAGCAGCTCTTATAAAAAGTTCTACTTTTTGGAATTGGAGTGCTACTCCATTGTACCCTCTGCAGCCTTGTTTCCTGATCCCGGAGCCTCCACTTCACCTAGTAGCTTATTAGAAATACAGACTCTCAGTCCCCACTGTGGGCCTCCTGAACAGAATCTGCATTTTGACAGGATTCCCCAGGTGATTCACATGGACATATACACTTGACACATCCCATTTGTCAGCCCCTAATAAACACATACACACGCGTGTCCACACAACATAGCTTCAGGAGCTTTAATCCTAGAGAAAGTCTATCATTCCCAACCTGGGTCAAAGTGAGTTTCATTTGTACAGTGAATAAACACATCTCCAGAAGAAAGTCTAATCCCCTACTAACATGGGAACCACCTTCTATCCTTATTTCGTAATACTTCTGCTGTACATCCTCACATTTCACTAGGTCTTTGACCAAAGGCACTGTAATTGCTGTGTTGCACATGATTTGCTATATTTCTGCAGCAGCTAATGTTTCACCAAACAGGGTTCTTTCAAAATCAGTCGGTTCCCAGCAAGTATGTGACAGGTGTCTAGTTCTATCCCTGGCAGCTCTGTGTTTACCATCTTTCTTGTTTGCTCCCATTGTGTCTCTCTCTCTCTCTCTCTCTCCCCCCCCCCCCCCCCGCCGTTATTGCTTAAAGAGTAGCCACTTGACCCCACAGGATGGAGCTGGCCCCAGGGTCCTTGTCAGTTTGTTGCTAATCTGGAGTATTCTTTTTACACCAGGTCAGGGAAGAATGCCGGCTCCTGAACGCCCCACCTGTTCCACCCCGAAGCACAAAGCCTTTGTCCACGAGTCCCTCCATCCCTCCTCGCACAGTCAAGCCAACGCGGCCACAGACTCGCTCTCCCAGCCCCACCTTGTCCTACTATTCTTCAGGGCTGCACAACATGTAAGTCTGGCTGCAAGGGCTCACAGCAACCTGATTTCTCCTCAGCCAGGAGAGTGTCCTCTAGCCAGGGCAGTGGGAAAGGAAATGGTTTTTATCATTTAAAGTAATTTTACTGAAAGAGCATGAAGGGGTGGCACTTGTTGTTTTTCACCTTGGACAGAAGAGCCAGTGTCTTGGGAAGAAAAGATGTCAGGGGTCTATGAGAAGTCGGTGTAAAAGCCTCTGGATTCTCTTGGAAACAGCGTGTAGAGGATGCCATCCATTCTCACAAGCCAGCACCTAGTTCTTTCCACTTTGACACAAGCAGACAGCACCTCAAATTGAAAGGGTCCCCTTGGCTTTCTGCTCTAAATTCCCATTGACACAGAAATGCCTCGTTGATCACTGCTGTTGGGTGGTCCTTCTCTCCTGTCTGGATCCTCCCAGTGCTGTGAGCTCAGTTCTCTTGGCAGTGCCGTCCATCCATTTTTGGCAAATGCCAACATTTTATTTAAAAAAAAAAAAAAAAAGTCTTTCAGACTGTCAAGTTAAAATCTATTTCCATGTAACTCAACTGTTTCTTACATCTAGAGAAATAAAATAGGTCTGCTACACTTCTGTCTGTCAGCCCATGAAAATTTAAAGTCTCTATAAGTCTTATCCCAAAGAGACAGCAGGTTGGCTCTGTCTACCCATCTTCCAGCACACTCTAGTTTCACTGTCCCTCTTAAAATAGGGCCCCCAGGCTAAATGTGCCACCACATGTGTCCTTGAAGTTTAAAGTAACTCTCTTCCATATTTGTTGTTGTTGTTGTCCTTTGGACACTTAAATTCTTATGCTAATGTAACTCAGTAGTATAGAAACCAAGGTGAGGAAAGCATATTATTGGAAATATGTCTTCCTGTGTCAGACTTTTGGGTGTAAATAGAGTCATGGGTGGTAGTGATGTGTTCTGTCATTGTCTCACAAGGTTGGCAAGGATGAGACACCCGTTACCACTCTTTCGCTCCCCTTTGCCCACCGCATATATCACTAATCAATTTTGACACCTGTTGGTGCAAAGCCCAAAACATGGTTTGGGAATTTTTTCTCATCATAAAGATCCAAGCATTTACTAACAATGCTTTTCTTCTTAACTAAAAATTATTTTTTGTTCCTATCTCCATGGTAGCATTTTAAATCATTACGTACATAGCTATAATTATCAATATATGTCATTAAAGATTCTTTAAAAAAAAAACTATGAGGTTAGCAGGTACTTCATTGATTTCATGATAAGAAATATACTTTTTCCTAATTGTATTTTCTGCTCAGAAGTAACTAACATCGGTGAAGAACAAAAGGCTTGAGATGTGGCTTTAAAAAAAAAAAACTAATTTCCTTTTCTGTTTGTTTGCTTTTTTAAGCAGCTCTACTAAAAGTGACACAAGTCCTTCTGAAAGTGTTCCTGTCTCCTGCTATCCGTGCAACCGAGTGAAAGCTGATTCTGTGGACCTGAAATCCCCATTCGGAAGTCCTTCTGCTGAGGCCCTGTCCTCCCGGCTCTCGTGGCCTAATCATTATTCAGCCACATCAGAGAGCCAGACCAGGAGTGACTTCCTGCTGGACCCAAGCAGGAGTTACAGTTATCCCAGACAAAAGACACCAGGCACACCAAAGAGAAACTGCCCAGCACCTTTTGATTTTGATGGCTGTGAGCTCCTGAGCAGCAACCCCAGCTCAGTCACTGCAGAATTCAGTAGCAATGTCTCTGGTTGTCCCAAGTCAGCTAGCTACTCTCTGGAGAGCACAGAGGAGAGTGCTCTTGCACCCAGCATGACCAAGCAGAGTATCTCCTGCCCTGCCTTACCCCCCAGGGCCCCAAAGCCAGTGGAACAGAAAGCCGTCCCTGAAACATCTCCTTTGCCTCTGAAAATCGATGGTGCTGAGGAGGACCCCGAGCGGGGGTCACCGGACCTCTCTGAGGACCAATATTTTGTTAAAAAGGGCATGCAGGACATCTTTGCTGTCTCTTACCCTTTCTCATCTCCGCTTCACCTCCAGCTGGCCCCCAGGTCCTGTGGCGATGGTTCCCCGTGGCAGCCACCCGCGGACCTGTCTGGACTGTCTATAGAAGAAGTGTCCAAGTCCTTGCGGTTCATTGGTTTGTCCGAAGACGTCATATCCTTCTTTGTCACCGAAAAGATTGATGGGAATTTGCTTGTTCAACTAACGGAAGAAATTCTCTCAGAGGATTTCAAGTTAAGCAAACTGCAGGTGAAGAAAATAATGCAATTCATTAATGGCTGGAGGCCCAAAATATAGCCAAATATCCCCAGCTAGCATGGGACAGAACTAATTGGCACATGTGCCAGGAGGGGTGGGCTGGGACACAGTTTCATGTTTTTGCACTAAAAAACCTTCTCTGTAAATAGGGATAAGAGAAACTCTTACTATGCAGATTACATTTTTGAATGGTGAACAGGCTATTTTGTACATCAATAAAGATGCTGTACAGAACACTTAGAGGTGTGCCTTGTACGTCCCTCAACACTCAGCAGCTGCTACCAGAACAAAGGCATATTCAGAGAACTCATTCTTACCCAGTCGGTTTATGCGAGAAGGTATGATATTTATTACAAAATAGCCAAAGCTGAAAGACATAAGAATCTTAAAAAAATAAATAAATAAACATTTTTTTTTAGCAATTCCCTTCTTTGGGGGAGTTGACTTTAGACAATTAACTATATTCTGTGCTCTGTTGTTTGGATTGCTTAGTGCTTATTGTTTTACTCTTGTGCCTGAAAATGTTAGTGATATGAAATGACACTTTACTGTTATGCTTGGTGGGGATCTTTTTATCTAGAAGCATTTTCCAAAAGTCATGTGCTGATAGAAGATAGATGATGTCCTTAGAAATAATACAAATCATGACCACAGTAATTGATCTGTAACTGCTGCTAATTTTTATTGAGCAGAGAAAAAAAAAAGACATATACATATGTGAGCCTATGTTTTAAACATAATTTTGAGTCTGATATTTCAGGTAACATCTATTCGCATTCAAATAAATATCCATTGAGGTTTGGGGACCTTCAACAAAGTTGATTATCTTAGGAACGGTGGATGGGATGATTCCAAAGATTCTCCACACCCTAAATCTTGAAGCTCAGTCTTACTAGGCTTCATTGCTGAAAACTTTGAACAGACCCGTGAAATATCTGTAATGAAGAAATTAGTGTGTTTTCAAGCCCATTACAGGGCCAATTCTTGCATATCCATGCTGGCATCCAGAGAAATGATAGTTTCTGTCAAATAATAATTCTCAGCTTTGAGGGTCTTTTCCTGGGTGCCTGCCAATAATCGGTCCAAAAAGTACTTCTCAGAGTATGAGGTGTGTCAACACCCTTCTGAGAGCTCACAAATCAAACATACCAACCCTGTTATTCTATGCCCTGCATCTGATGGGTAATTATTTTTAAAATATCAATAAATATACTTGTTAATTTCATACACCTTTTCTTTCCTCTCTTCCAAAGAAAATACTTGGTCACCATACTTTTGTTCCAAGAATTCCAGAAGTCGGAGAATTTTTGCTAAACAGTGACTAACTATTCTAGAACATCATGGCTTCATCCCCATTCTTGACTTTTTGAAGGACCATTATTAACCTTAGAGAAGTTTGAGTCCTCTTATCAAGGCATCCAGACAGCCCCCAAGTCCGACCCTGGATCCTGAATGTGTAGACAGCCTTCGACAAGTGTGCGCTGTGGCCTCTCAGGTCCGGCAGATCAGTCACTAGGGTGTCATCATGCCTTGCAGGGTTGGGTCATATTTTATTGTCTCCTCTTCCTACTTCCCAAAGTTAAAAAATAAATAAGTTAATTTAAAGACAAGACCCGCCAGTCTGGGTTTTGTATTTCTGTGAAATATGTCTACTATTTCTTAGCATTAGTAAAATGTTTCTAATGCATCTGATGGTAGTAATGAGGTGAATGGGTACCTATTTTAATTTTCCATCTCAGAAGTCCTTTAAAAAAGAAAAAAAAAAAAAAAACAGCTCTTCATTCCTAACATGCCTCCCAAAATGTAAATACTATACTCCAGGTAAAAAGAGTAACCTATAAACTGTCAAAACTGGAGCACCTCTTCCTAAGTAGCTGTCAGATGTATGAAGAAGTTTCCCACGCCACACTCACGTGACCCACAAGACTGTTATTTAGAAAACATCCCTCTTAGGAAATTAACCTCTCAGAATTTCCCTTTAGGATAAAAACAGACGAGATGTGGTTGGAAAGCGGCGCGCTTTCATTGGTACACCCTTGCTCCCAACAGTTTTTCAGCATTCAGCACTTGGACACGATTCTCAAACTCAAAAGCAAGAAACAGGGTTTGTTTTGGTTTCGTACAAAAGGTCACCTCCCATAAACACTTGACTCCATTTGTCTTTTTTTCTTTTGGAAAAACCTTAGACAAAATAGGGTCATTTTCCTTTTGCTCATTTGTTTTGATCTTGGTGTATTCGTGCCAAGTTTATATTGATTGGCAACCTGGAGTCCTCAAGGACAAGGACCTGCCTTAGATTCATGTATTCATGATACATTCATGGAGCAACTTTTTTGTGCCAGGCCCAATACCATAAAAAGACCCAGCCCCTGCCTTCTTGGAGCTCACTTTGTTCATACTTAAAATCACAGTTGCTGAGACGGTGTAGGTATGGATAAGAGAGACGTGAACTCCTCTGGGCAGCTGGCTGTATGGAGAGTGAAGTGTGTCCTGTCTTTTAAATATGCACAGATGAGAGCAATGGCAGCTAAGGGTATTAAATAAACACCACAAGACTGTTCAAACTTGTAACATGGAGGCAGAAAGTGTCCTCTCACTGTCTTGTATTTTTCTTTTACTGACTTGGAATTTTGGTTTAATCCTAATAAAAGTATCTTCTGCATTTCTAAAAGCCACAAACGTAACTGTTGTTCTGATCTGAGCACCTGTCTGGCATGCCCTTGATTAGACAGTATGCACAGCCCCCAAAAGAATCATGACAATAAATGCAGAACAGGAATCTGAAGGAAACAGCCCCTCCTTTCTGAGAGCTGTGATCTGCAATGAAAAGCAGTGTGCAGAGATCCCATGAGCAGAATCTTTTCTACCAGCTGGTCAAGACTGAATGCATCCTTGTTTGACAGGTCCCTAGGATCGGAAGAGTGACCATGGTGTTTGGGGGAAAGTACCTTTTTTTTTTTCCAGTACTTAAATTCATGGCTAAAATCATCTTCACAGCCCCCATCAGAAAAGAAAATCAGCAATAAACCAAGCCAAGCAGCTGAAACGTAAAATGACCCAACGCAGAAGGAGAACTCAAACACAGATCAATTCCTTCTCAGAATCTTGTAAACGCCTTCAAGTTGTCTCTTCTTTAAGTTGAGCTGTTCAACTTTATGAACTGTGAAATGTACGCTCACACTCTTTGAACCAACCCACATATACCATCCAAGTTTATGAAGTTGTAGCAGACACCCATTCAGCTAAATCGCAGTGTTTATTCTTGTCTCCTGCAAAAATCCAGCAATCTTATGGGAAATATTATGACAGTCCATTCCAACCTATGGCAGACACATTAACAGCCTCTGCTCACATTCCATAGCCACCTGCACATCAGCCACACATCTCCCGGAGAAGTGCAGGGGGTGAGTGTGGATAGACAGTCTTTCATTTTCCAAACACTTGGTATAATGAGTTGCTACTCGTCTAGCCTAAGTAGTATAAGGTTGGCATTCCACAAACGAGAAAGCAAACTAGTTCTCCAAGAACCTAGTGAACTGTTCAAAGAAAATTTTAGTTTCAATCTCCCAGAAAAGTTAAATCTGTTGTTGGACACACAAGGCCTTCAGAAACATGTCCATTATTATCAATTTCCACTATTTTTCTAGTAATCTTAAGGCTACTAAGGCAAGAACAGTGAAAAGGCCCAACTTGCAAATGATGGCAAATAGGACTTTCATACTATGGGGTGGTTATACTGTGAGATTCTTAGGCCGCATCTGTTAAATTACATCAGTCAGTTTTCAAAACTTGGAGTTTTGAAATTTGTCTCATTGTGGTAGCCAGAAACAAGGAGTAAATGCAATTTCGGTTAAAACTATATATAAATGTCTATATATAAATATCTCCTGTAATTTTGCTGCTCTAATTTGTAGCTATGAATTTTTGTAATAGAGCTTATCAGATCACAAATTTTTTTGTTTACAATCTCATGTAATAGGGCTCAGATAATTTCTTAACTATAAACTCCCATTTTTACATTCAGTTCCATTCAAAATATTGTTTCAACTCAGCCTAAAAAAAAAAAAATTGAACTCCATTAAGAATTTGGGGAATTCTCTTCAACTTAAATGGAGATGTTGTATTGTTTGCAGAGAATTTTGTAACTGTCTTTACAGTTTCTTGGCTTGGAAAACTGAGGTTGTTAACTATAAGTTAACAGTTGTATCATTTTCCAGTGGGCCCAGTGTGTACCTCAAGATAAACACAGTGTGTTATGTCTAAAAGAACTCATTGTCTGTTGATCTACATGGTTCCAAAATGTCTATAAATAAAGAAATTTTCAAAGATGCTCTTCTTCCAGTTTTTCCTCAATGAGCAAACCTAGTACAGAGTTTTCTAGGGCCTCTTTCCCCCTGTCCTTATTAAGCGATATGGTAGCTGGTCTAGAGAGATTCCAAATACCACAGCCCCATCCTGGATTAAGAGTGTGAAGACCACAGCTATTGTACATAGAAGAAGCTGGTAACCCAGTGACCCGGTAGTATCCAAAGAGAACTCAGTACCAGTACAGTCAGGAGATGGAGCTCGAGACAAATATAGTTTAGGTGGTAAGCTTTTAAGTAAAGTCTGCATGTTCAAATGGGGTGCAAGAGAGGTATAATACATGTGTTTCAGTTATGTAAGCACAACTGAGCAGAAATGGCCAAGAGTACCAGAGAGGAGCCATGAGCATTCAGCCTGCTATGGCATCTGCCAGTAAGTTTTACAGCAAAGTTGGAGAATAACAAGTAGAAGTCAATTAAGAGAGCTTTTATTCTACTCAAAATAACATAAAATGGCTTCCCAGCATTCTCTGCCCTCAATCTTCCTGTCTTCTTTTATTAGACTAAAAACATCCCCAAACTGTTCACTCTGCCTTCTCCTTAAGCCTTTAATCCTGCTCTCCTGTTCCACGGGGCTAAGACCTGTGATAGCCCGCATATAGCCACCTGCTGGATTTGGGTGTGTGCTGGAAGAATCCATAGGCTTGATGGAGGTTGGCTAAAACTTCCAAGGATCTATCTCAAGACCTAGGAGTACTTTCCTCAGGTACACACCAGGACACTTGACTCCAAATTGGATATTGCAGAGTGAATTTAGACATAAGTTTAGACTCGAACATCCTCCAATTCCTATATATCTGAAGTTAGAAAGGGGCATATCGTTGAAAACAATCATGAAATGTTGGCTAAATTCCTACTGCTGAAATTACCTTCTCCTTAAGCTCCTTCTCGCTTAAATAACTCATATACATCCTTCCAGGTTTACCAGATATCATTTCCAGGCTAGTTAGGTTTCACTCTGTGCTGTTAGAGCTCCCTGTACAAATCTCCTGTGAGTTACAAGCTCCTTGGTATCTGGGCTTG